ATGTCATGGACCCAGACGGGTTTGGCGCGGCAACGTGGCATGACACAGGCACAAAAAGGGTGGACAACCCTCTGGCGGCTCCAACAACAAAAACAGGGTTTATTGAACAAAACAGAAAACACTGCGGACACAGCAAAATCAAAGGACCACGACGGGTCAAAACCTAAAGGGGATTAACAAAGACTAAATAACAAAGACCGAATACACATCTAACACCAAGAATATCAAACTGTCTAACATCACAACTATCAAACAACAACAATGAACCACTGGGGAACTGAACAGAAGCAGGAACTAAAATACTAAGGGGTAACGAGACTAACACAGGACAGGTGAGGCTAATTAAGAAAGACCAGGAAAACGGGGCAGAGGTGAAACTAATAAACTCAAAGGAACTAAAAACAGGGAAACCAAGAACTAACCAAGGAAACAGAAACTAACACTGGGGAATTACAGACAGGTAAAGACACAAGCAGGGGCACAAGGAACAAAACCAAAAACCAAATACAAAATCACCAGATACAAGAACTAGAAAAACTCAAATGAAACACTAGAGAGCAAAATACAAAAATAGAGGAAGCAGGATTCAAACACAGGACAAGGATCACAGGCAACTACATGCTCAACACATTGAGCCATGCGGGCAGACAGGTAATAAGGGAGAACAAATACTAACATGAAGGATGGGATGACCAGCGACACCTGCTGGCCAAACGGGGAAGGGACACAGAGTGGGACAACATGGGCTGACCCTGACACTGTAAGTTCTTAACAACATTAGGAAAGCATTGGATTTCTAAATTCCTTACATGCTGTGTTGCATTTAAGCTAGGCTACACTGATTTAATAGGTTTTTGGTCCTTTACAATTGTTGGTGTGCCAGATAGATTTTGAAGATTATGATCAGAGAAATAACTTAAAAAAAAATCACGCCACATAAGGTTTTTGAGAAGCAGCCAGTTTTGTTATAATTATTGTAAGATGTTTAAAACACGGGTATTTCTCATAACACTGGTGGACAAAGATTTTTTTCATGCATCAACTACGGGGTGACGTTTATGTACTTTTTAATTCTGACTTAAGAAATGCGCTCAGAATTTTGCTCTCACCCATAGTTTTTCAATAGTGTGATTTTTAGACTGTATTAATAGTATATAATTCCTTATTATGAATGTATTGGCATATTTAAGTGTAATTTAGGTAAAAATTCACTTCTATTCATGAACATTTTAAGGACTTTACATACACTTCAAACAGTACTGTAAGTCTGTTTTGCCAGAGATTACAGGCTGTAGCATGTTTAGACATATTGATACAGGGCCCTTCTCTCTCTATGATATGCATATAGGAAGCTCAATTGTGTGTCACTCAAAATCCTTGTATGATAGGTAAATCCTGCTTAGATATTTGAATTCAACACAAACAATAATGTAAGATTCACCTGCTTTGATTTGTGAAACCAAAAGAAAGTTAAAATTTGTTTTTTTTTTATATGTGTTCTTTAGCATGTCAATATATTTTGGCTCATATGTTTTTTGTTATAAGGTTTCTCGAATGTGATGGGAAGGTAAATCTGACGTAAAATTTAACTTGAGAGTTTCTTACGTCTACTGAGAACTGCCCGAATAACATTTTAGACTACAATGTAAAGTGCATCGCCATAATGTCCTGTAGGTGGCGCTGAAATAATATATAATTTATTGTTCATCTCATCTTGTTCCTGTTTCTGCAACACAATGTTTTCCTACTTTATAATAATAAAGTTTAGTTAAGAGTAATTGCGGGCGACTCAGTGTTATAGTTTTGGTTAAATTGGCCCTATGTATTTTTTGGGAAATTGCAATTTCGTAGGTAAGATAGTTTTGTGGTTTCATACATATTTAGCTCCTCTTTATAAAATAACTCTTCAGCAGAATCAAAAGTATCAGTATTGTTTTCTAATAAATTTTCTTTTCTATTTTTGTATTCAGAGGGGTAAATGTGGTACTTAAGTGTGAAATTTAAATGTACAGACCACAATTGTGCTGTTTACTTTTGTGATTTGATTTCCTTATTAATTCACAGTGTATGAATGTGTAATGAACTCCGTCTTATACGGTACACAACGGTAATATGCAGGCCATTACTGTGAACATTAAATGTTAATTATCTAGGCATGAATTTATATAGAAATATTATACACAAATACTGTTCTGTAATGACTTTACTTGGGCTATTCTGGAGCACTTAAGTTTTTTTCTAAATAGAGGAATGAATTCAGAAGTGTCACATTTTGTTTTTAACAAAATTGTAGCTGTGTTTTAGGTGAATGACATGGGCTAAGGGCCAAAGTAAAGAAAGTTGAGAAATCCCGGAGGTTTATTCGGAGGTTAAGGTTACCGATGCCTACACTTACGTAAGCCTCCACTCTGCATCTGTTATGGCCCTCATTAATTACGGCGATTTAAACATTAGCATTTATTTATGAGGTTTATAGAAAAATATTAAGTGAAAATTTTGAACCATTTGAGTCTTTTTTTCCTAATCTAAAAGTGCAACTTTCCATTGTTTTTCAAAGCTTGGGATGCCATTGTAAATTCTGTAAATGTAAAGGATATGTATATAAAAATTACACGTAATTAATGATTAAATAATTTGTACTGTTAAAAATCTACCAATAAGGATGCATCTATTGTGATTCTTGTGTTCATTAAAGTTGTTTTTGCAGAAAAATATTAAATGTATTGTTTACAGCTGGCTGAATAAATTACGATTTATTGCTATTAAATGATGATTAATTACTATTTGTAATTGCTTACTTTTGAAAACTGTAGGTTATCCATTATACACATCCTTTGTTGTATTTTTCAGAAGTACGTTTAAATTCAGGTGAATTTAAAAGTACGTTTGAATTCAGGTGAATGGTCTGCTTGCAGATTACAAAAAGCCAAATTGACAGAATTAAATACACATAAAATCAATTTTAAATGCTGCAGCTGCACACATTTATGTGGAAAAAATGTATTACATATTACATCTCAGCAAATGAAAAACAGCTGGAATCCGTGCCATGGAACAGCTCCTATCCACTCATGCTTAAGCCAACTCTATGTTGTGAACTACTGTCCACTTTCATCCTCATTTTGCAACATGTTTGCAGGAAATCTTTGGCTCGGTGTCTCAGACGGCGGCAATGACTAAATACAAATATTTAAATTGTAATCTCATCTAAAAGACTGTCTGCAATCCGTTTTTAATGTGTGGTATTTGTTTTGAAGATTACCCTGATTTATACTGAACCATTGCCATGGGACAGAATATCAATGTTTTACAATCAAAACATACTATATATTGAATATTATAAGGTTCTTTTATGTGAACAATTTTCGCCAAAAATTTTGTTTATATCGTATTATTTCCAATATGTAATTCCTGTGCTTTCATTTCATTTTATTTTGTATGCACAAAATTTAAGGAAACACTTCTTTCTCAACAGGCAAAATCTTAGTTGTGAGTCATTTTAGTAATTTTGCATTATTTCATATTTTTTCCACATTTTTAAATTATATTATATTATATTATATTATATTATATTATATTATATATGGACCAGCCAAAACATTTAAACCATAAGTGATTATCTCATTACAATGGCACTTGTTAAGGGTGCCATTATATATTGGGCAAGTGAACAGTTCTTTTTGTTGAGGTGTTGGAAGCAAGAAAAATAGGCAAGTGACTTTGACAACCGCAAAACTTTGATGGCTAGATTACTGGGTCAGAGAGTCTCCAAAATAGCAGGTCTTGAGGGCTGTTCCCAGTACGCAGTGGTCAATACCTACCAAAAGTGGTCCAATGAAGGCCAAACGGTGATCCGGGGACTGGGCCATGGGTGCCCAAGGCTCGTTGAAGCACTTGGGCGGGTGAAGGCTAGCCTGTCGTACAAATGTTGAGGAACATGAAAAAGAGTTCAAGCTGTTGACTTGGCCTGCAAATCCCCCAGATCTCAATCTGGTTGAGCATCAGTGGGATGTGTTGGACAAGCAAGTCTGATCCATGGAGGCCCCACCTTGCAACATACAGAACTTAAAGGATCTGCTGCTAAGGTTTTGGTGTCAGGTACAGGAGACCCTCCGTATCCACAGGAGATATGTTGGCGTACATCCGAAACACGGGAGACCATCTGCAGACCCCATAATGTGAATTTTATGTTCTTGCATATGGTAATTGTTGCTGGTGTGATATTACTAACATTAAATACAGTAATAATAAAGAACATTGTACATTATTGTACAGTACTACACAGTACCATACTCTCGAATGAAAGGGATTCTAAAGATTTAACAAAATTCTCAAAAGACTAGAGCAATGAAAAATATGCATCATGGGATGATGGATTAATGAAAATCATGCTTTTCATAGCCCTCAAAGGACAAAGGAACAATATAAAAACACTGTCTTTTCAATACATGTTTTGGAGCATGGTAAACTGCGAATAACTGAAATGACAGTTACTGAAACCACGGACACTAGACTACTGTACCGCGGGACACCTTCAGAGGCCTTATGGAGTCCATGCCTTGACGGGTCAGAGCTGTTTAGATGGTTTTAATGTTATGGCTGATTAGTGTATTATATAACTGCAAATATTTTGTTTGTTTTTTTAACCTTTTGACACGTTTTTCCAAAGTTTTCTTAAACTGAATGAGCTCCATATTAATAATACACAATCACCTCTCAGGATAAATGTGAAAAATCACAGGTATGAGTTTCAATAGTAAAGCTAAGAACTTCACCTTTCATTTGGCATTTGCTTGTGTATTTTAATGTATAAAATACTGTTTTTATGTTTGCCAGATATAATGCACAATAATAAAATGTATATGACTGTATTGACAGAGTGATCATTTTGTCTTTTTTCCCTTCTGAATCAAACATACTCAGTTATTCATGCACTACTGTGGATTGTGGTGATTTTCTTCTTTTGGAAGAATCCATAATAACAAGAAAATTGCTTTCAAACAAGTAAAAACACATTTATTCAATGCTTTGATAAAGAATGTGTACATCTTTTTGAACACATAGATAATCATTTAAATATAACAAAACAGCAGAGTACTCAGCACAACATTATATACATATTAATAACTGATTATCAAAATTCCAGTCATAGTAGGCATGCAGACATAAGAAGATAATAAAGTGCAATCATCTTGATTTGGGAATTTGTTACTTTAGATAGCTTGGTCTTTCAGTCCATGAAATAGCTTTGGGGTGATTTGTTGCATTTTGAGGTATTTTTCATGTTTAGAAAGAGGTGCGATGAGCAGGTTTTCTGGTCACAATGAGTACAATCTCCATCTCTTTTTAAGCACAGAGCAGACAATGGAGATGCCAAACTGCCACCTGTTAAGGAATCAATTAAAAGGGGATAATTAGAGTCTCATTTGGCAAACAGATCACACTGGGGGCAGTGCATGGTTCAGCAGGTTAAGGACACTGCACATGAAGTAGGAAGGTTGCTGGTTTGAATCCCATGTTCAGCAGAGAGATATGAGTGTTGAGCCTTTGAGTAATATCTAGTATTCCCAGTTGCTCCAGGTACACTCTCAATTGTATGTTTATTTGGATGAAAGTATTTCTAAATTAATGTAATGTGTTATGTCTGCTCAAGCAGAAAAAACTGATGTGTAACGAAATAGGGCTGTTCAGAACAGCGGGTAAACTCTGTTTGGCAGCTATAGTTCAGTGAGGACAAATTTTATCTGACAGGATGAAAGGCTGAAGTAAGAGAAGATGAATGACCTTTATCGGGCTTACTCGCATTGATTTCCCACATATTTTTTTTGCCCTGACAATTTGGTCTATTGCCATAGAAAGAAATATGTTGCTACCATGCAAAGATTTCACCAAAGCTTCTCTTACCTCATCTCCTGATAAAGGCCACTGGCAATTCGCGGCTGGGGACAAGGGTTCCTGAGTGTATTGCCTCTACTGGGTCATTATCTGTTGCTAGGATTTCATATTCTCTTATCACCTGACATCCAGAGAAAACAGCATGATATTATAATTTAACTGATACAATTTACAAATTAGCAAAAAAATCAACAACCTTCATCCATCAGTTATAATAAATTAACATATATATATATATAAATCCACTCAAAACTGTCCATTCTTGTATTGCCAGATATTGTGTTTAAAGGGATATGTGATACATACAGTGTGAACAGACAACTTGCAATTTGTACACTTTCTGCTAACATTTCTGTTCCAATTTGTATTGGATGTTTACATATGCCAAAAGATTTACGTGTTCTGGAAGACACTGGCAATGTTCTTAATTCAGTCTCAGTTCAATAAGTGTGGCGTCCATTAATCAATACACTTAACATTTTACAAATAACCAATATTATTGGAATGCTGTTTGTGAAATGTTACACAACACCTGAAGAACATGTCCTGAATGTGCTAAATTGTAGATGCTGGAGGTTTATTTGATTTATTTTCCTTCTATGCTAAACACAAAGAGCATTTTTTCATGTTATGAACTATTACTGTTTTATTGCCAACCGCTGGCAGTGTATAGCTCTGCGGGTTAGGAGTGTGTGTCTGTAATCAGAAGAGTGGAGGTTCAGATCACATGGTTGGAAGTGATGTCAACATTGGCCCACTGAGCAAAGCCCTTAACCCCAATTGTTCTCTCATCCTCATGTGTATATGTTACTCTGGACAAAAGCATATAAATAAAATGTAATTAAGCAATACAGTGATGTGACTACTGAGCTATACTTCAGAGCTGCATGAAAAGAAAGTGTTAGAATTGCCAGACATTTCTCCTGGGACCCTGGAGCAGTTTTGGGCTTAAGGGCCTCACTTAAGGACCAGTAGTGATATGATTACAGGATTAGAACCAACACCCTTCTGGATAGAGGCAAAGTCACACACCATCCCAGAATAGGCGCATCTGTGATCTAGTCCTTGAACCTGTCACACCTTAAACGAGTTTCCTATCCCCAGACCAAGAGGCCGGATCTTACCCAGGCCAACGCAAGCTGCAGCTGCAGCTCTGCCAGACGACGGCCAATGCACATCCGCTTGCCGATACCGAAGGGCACGTGAGTGAAGGGATTGATGGTGCTCTTCTCCTGAAGCCAGCGCTCGGGCTTAAACTGCTTCCCCTCATCAAAGTACTCTTCATTAGAGCCCAGGGCGTGGCTGTTTATCATCAAGACTGTCTAATTTTAGCGTTAAAAAAAGATATGTCAATATTTTTCAACAGCAATAGCAAAACTCAAAACACTAATAGAAACTAACTTCTGGTCAGAGTCTGTATAGACACATTTAACATTATATGTAGAGCTATATGACAGATATATATTAGGTCTTATTATAAATAAACATACTTACTCCTTTTGGCAGTATATAATGTCCAAGCACAGTCTCTTTATCCAAAGTCCGACTAGTAAATGGCACCGAGGGCGAAAGTCTATAAATAAAGCAGATATTAAATGTAAACTCTGGAGAAATTAATGAATTTGTGAATGTTATGCATCTCCAATTGTGCTGGAGTGCTGGCAGAATGGGTCACACTGTTGCCTCACACTTCCAGGGTTGAGGGTCACCCTCAGGGTGTGATTGTGTGCCCTGTGATGGGGTGGAATCCTGTGCAGGACGCAGCCCTGCCTTGTGCCCTGTGCTTCCTGAGATAAGCTCCAGGCTCAGCGTCATCCTGGACTGAACAAGCTGCTATGCAAGCTGAGGTACAGAACTTCCAGTTCATGTCTGTTTCTCTGTTGATTATTTAACTAAAGCTTTTTTTTTTTTTTTTTACTATTTTTACTGCAAGCAAACAGAAAGATTCTCAGTCCCTATTGACAAATTGTGGTCTTATCTATTCATGCTTTTCCCTTCATTGACTGATTAAAGAATTCTTTACTACGTACATAATAAAATTGAAGGTAGACAATGTATAAAGTAGGTACTATTTAAAAAAAAAGTAAGTATCTCAGGTCAACATTGTTTGCATATCACCAGACTACATCCAAATACTATGTTCCAATGTAAATAGTGATCCTCTAACCATTTATGGGTCATGGTACACAGGGCTCATGCACTTACTATGGCGACTCAGAAACTCCAATGAACCCCTCTTTGAAGTGTGGGAGGAGAGTATGAAAACTCCATACACTCTGAAAAGTGGTGGGATTTGAACTCACAACCTTCGAGGTCTAAGGCAACAAAATCACAGCATTAGCTGTGAGCTAACTCAGTTAAACATAGCAAATTTTTACCCTAAAGAAATGACACTTATGTGATCGCTGTGCTGGTTTTACAGTCAGCCTACAGCTTCAGGCTGATTGATCGCTCCAAATCACCCAGAGGGGATTCTTTGCCTCAGTGACCTAATGAATAAGGCTCTGGCCACCCAGGCCAGGGATTGTGAGTCTGAGTCCTATCTGAGGTAGTGCTTTCCAGCTCAGTGGTTTAGAATGCTGTGCATGAAATTGGAAGGTCGCATATTCAAATCCCCGACTCTGCAGAGTGACGACCATAGTGGGCACTCGGGAGTGACTGGGTGTGGATGAAGCTCAGCTGATGATGCGTATGCATGATGATGCGAATGCATGATGATGCGTATGCATGATTATGCGTATGCATGGGCAGTGCTTACCTCATAGATTCCTTCAGACAGGCTTTGAGGAAGGGCATCTGCTTTACGTGCCGAGCATTGGGTGCCTCTCCTGCAGGGACTGTAGCTGTAATCTCCCGCAGCAGCTCCTCCTGACATCGCGGATTGCGGGATAGGTTGAAAATGGCCCACAGGAAGCTGTTGGCTGTCTACAGAATGACACAGGCAAGTTTACTATCCCAATACAGACAGCAGTCTCCTGCCTTCTAGGAATAGCCTATTGCAAGCTTGGCTGTTAGGTATTTGCATATTTATGCTGAATGACTGGCTACTTAGTTATGTAACAACAGCTGCATTCCAGCTGTCCATGTGTCTGTTTTGCATTGGCTGGCTTTCAAAAGATGAAAAACTTGCAGGGATAATTCTAGTGTCTGTTTCAAGCCCAATGACATGGCCCCAAGCATGATCTTGAATTTGATTTGTCAGTGGTAGTCATGGCTACAGTTTTAGGCCCAGTAACTCACGGTCTCAACTCCTCCAATCTGAAGCTCTGTGGTGGCCGCATACAGCTCCTTCTTGGACAAGCGACTGTGGTGGTAGATCTCACACAGGAAGTCATCGCTCGAATCCTTCTGGTGGCGTTTCAGTTTTTTGTCTATGTAGACTTTTGCTGCCAGAAGAAAAGTATGGCAAACTTCGAATGATATTTTATACTTACCAACCAAAATCATGACAGAAGGAGTTACTCAAATACACTGCATTTTAGTGGCTGATAGTGAATTCATGTTTGCATTTACATGTATTTAGCAGACAATTTTATTCAAAGTGATAAACAATAGAGGCAAAAAGCACATTATATTGTAGTGTCCCAGTCTTGAGAGGGGCTATGGTTTCGTTGTAAACATTGTGATTTCTTGTTCTTGGTGCTGCGTGCTTGGGCAGTTTCTCAAGGCAAGCAGAAAAAGGGATGGAATAATTGCTGATTAAGGGACTATAAGACCCTGAATAGGGGGTGGGTTTGGCAGCACTGAGGGAGCCTATTTCAGGGAGTGTTTTGCGGGATTTCGCTCTGTCATTTTACTGGTGAAACTGAAACGTCATCCTAGTTTGAAGAAAACGTCTGATTTAGGCTATTTAGTAATAAATATATAGTAGCCAGCAATATATGGACTTGGAATTATTTCCAATACAGCTAAATGATTAATATTATTAATATTAATGAGCTAAATGTTATACTCGTCTACTATTAAATCAATGAAGTTCGTGTCGGGTTACCTTATTTTTAAACGTCTCTATTCATAGACTTTTCCGCGAATGAACTCAAAAACCTCGAAACGTGTCAAGGAGCGACTCCAAAAAAAAAAAAAAACTTTAAACTGCTTGTCCCATGAACTTGAATAACCTTTGAAAACGACTTGGTCTTCCTGCGGAGCGCGAAACCACAGCTTGTTTATAGGCGGGGGGGGAGGCGAGTGACATGTGCCTGCCGACCGTAGTCTGTGTAATCAGCACAATAAACCATCCCCCTCTCCACCCTCCGACTACTACAAATATTTGGCAGCTTTGTCAGACACGGGTCACTCAGTTTACTACTAATGCTGTCAGTGAGTAAAGCGGGAAGGCAATCGGTTCATGTGTCATCACCTGATTGAAAATGCTTTTCTGTGGGTCATACGTCATCGGGGGCGGGGGGCGTCAGGTACCTGTGCGGAATATGTGGTCCCAGGCTGCCGTGTGATCCTGCCATGTCTTCGTATTGAAGCTTTTGTGGAGCTCGACCGGAGTGACCATCATCGTTCCAAACGTATTCATCATCTTAACATCAAGAAAACAAGCCTTTCAATAACAACCCGTGGAGACTGTTGTGTTTTATATCATATTAGCCTACAATAACGAGCTGTTGTTATACCCCACCCTTTTATCTTAAGAAAAAGCATCCAACCGAGACATTAAGTTTTTTTCTTTATTAAACAGAACTAAAGGTAAACAAAAAGCATGGTCCACACTCAAAATAGGAGGATTACGAAGACGAATACACACAGTCACGGCCCGCGGCTTAGTGAACCCAATGAACTCTGTTTTTTGCCTACATGTAAACATACTTGAATAACAGTGACCGTGTAAGGTGGGAGAGATTTAGGTTATCAAGATATTTGTTTTGCCGAATGGATAGGTTTGTGTTTCAGGTGAATAAGTTCACACTATGATGGGAGTATCTGCTGCCAAGAATTTGACTCATCATTTTACACTTACGGTTTTTATAGCTGTGATAAAGTTAATTGCTTCTTCATTTACGTTCTGGCCCAGAAGCCCAAATCGCTTGTCATACAACACCAGGCAAATAGCTGTAACAAAATATTGTCATTATTACGCATTTTTAATATAAATGTGATACTAATAATAATTATTCACAACAGAATTATTGCAGTAGGCCTACTTACTTTCAAACGACCACTTGTTCAGTTCAAAATATAAGTCATTAATGTGACCATTGACATTGACTTTCCCAATCCGATCAACAAAATCAGCCAGAACCTTTTTAAAAGAAACAAAATAATTAATAGTGTGAAATACGTACCCAGAATTGAACAAAATCCGTACTGGGTTGTTATTTGTGCTTTTTAAAGGTATACTAATATCAAACAACGAAAACAGGACACACGTACTGTATTGTGACAATTCATTCCAAATTGCCGAGAGCTTCTACAAACCCCATTATTAACTAATTGCATGATCGTAATCATTATTATTCAATGTCTTAAGTTCACAATTACAGCAGTGTGAATATAAACGCTATAGTAACATATATTAACATACGAACATCCAAAATGAAATGCAACGATATTCGGAAGTTGCTCCGATGGGTAAGTTACCACCAATGTCATTGTTCTACTTATTATTTTTACTGTATTGTATTTTTTTTTTACTGTTTTATAGTTATATACATGTAATTAGCCTGTACGATAATAATGTCATACCTCATTGATTTTTCCGTCCAGTTTCATCACTTCTGTAGGTTTCATTAATTTCTGCTGGAATGCGCTTCTCACTCTCTGCCAATCCTCTCCTTCCCTTTAAAACGAAAATAGTAATTGTCAGAAAAGTTCAGTCTTTTATTTCCACATCTGCAACGAAAAAAATATTACACTTACAAAATAAGGAGTCCGTACGCCTCGTTTCTGAAGTCCCTGTATGCTTTCCAGGGTTTTATTTCAAGGCGCTGTGGGTAGTTGCCTTCCTTTCTGTATAGTGCCTCCAGTAAACAAGGAGCGCCAATGTGAACTGATTCGAAAGATCCCAGCTTCATCCTGAAGATTTTCCCGAACCTTTTATGGTACTCAATCTGTAAAGAGTGCACAACACTTAAACGGAATGCATTTCAATATGAGTACTTCGCGTGGAAAAGTGGAGTATACTCGTCGCTTTATGCATTTGAAATTAAATGCATAGAATTTAGATGAGGGATATAGATGTAACAGTATGTCATGGTGCGAAAAAAATCTATTATCATTATTTACCAATGTTTCGTGCTGTCGTTTCAGCCCTCCTTTTCGGAGAAGCTCGATTAAGCTGCCAAACAGCGGCCAGTTCGTCGGTCCTGGGATAGAGGCTAGACCTTGCCCATCAGCGGGCACCTGTACAGCATCCATTGACTTTAACGCGCAAACTGAAGACGTGGTCTTGCAGTGTTGCATTCCTATGGATTTAGTCTTCAAAAGCTCGAGAATCTGTGGAGCTTTTTTAATTTGCGTTCTCATTTTTGCAATACCTAAATAGCAAATTGACACTATGAATTTAGGAATCGTCTACGTATTAGGACTGTATCTCCCACTCTCCTTTCATAAATAAGTCATATCTTCCCACAATATATAGCCGTACCTTGTTTTTCCAAACTAAGCCCCTCAACCAATCAGAGGCAAGTATTGCATGGTGTGGCCGACGAGCCCACCTTTCATTTTTTGGATCTATGTTATGAGTATCGCATGTCCCTAGATAGAGCGAGGAAATGCCCTTGCGACTGACTTTATAAATAAACAGCAAGCCAAAGTGACGATCTTCATATGAACCTTCCCGGCTCTGTTTACTGAATTATCTGGAATTATCTCTGTGTAAATGTAACTATTACAATGCGAAAGGCCAGGCAAATATTTGTGTAATGCTTTTCATTAAATTTCAAGATTGATTCACACACACACACACACACACACAGTGCTTTTTCATATTTGCGGTGAATAATAGTATCTTCAAAGCTACCTTACAAAATCTGAAAGCATGTGAAATACATGATCTTGTAATTTACAATTTTGGATGTAAATATTTATTCTCTATTCTTTATCAAATAATAGAGCAAGTAATCCTTCAAAATTTAATTTTAGTCGTTAACAATTGCGTAATATATTCTAGATGTCATGTCCTGCCCTGCCTGACCCTCCTGTCTCCTCCCTGGTGTGGCTCCAACAAGCTGCCATGCCTGGTCCTCATCCGCACTCTAGGCTCCCAGTCCAGGAGAGCCACTTGTCTCTGCCCCCACACCCAACCACGGTAACATCCCCACCAAACTCCTAGAGCTTGTCTCGGTCCCAGCTGTGCCCTCAGGCCCATCCTTGCAGCTGCAGTAATCTTAACTTCAGGCCCCAGGGGAGGCTGCTACTGTGCCTGGCCCAGGAGAGGCTGCCGCTGCCCTGCTAGCACCCAGCTCAGGAGAGGTCTCCACCGTTTCAATTCCGCCCGGCCCAGAAGACATCTCTATCGCACCACTAGCACTCTGCTCCATAGAGGCCGCTGTCACTCCTGGCCCTGAGAGGGCCCCATTGCTCATGCTTCCAACCCAGAGAGGGGCGTTTCGCCCTGTCCATCTCTGGGTGGCCCGGTTCTGCCATGTCCATCTCCAAATGGCCCAGCTCCATCCGCCTCCAGGTGTCCCAGCTAGACCCACTCACTGCCTGATGTCCCAGAGAGGGCCTCATGGTTCCATCCTGCCCATTTCCAGGCATCCCGGATTCACTTCAATCATTCAGGTTGTCCTGTTCACCTGAAGGTATCCTGGCCTCGTCCTGCATACCTCAAAGTGTCCCAGCCTTCTCACCTGCGCCCGCCTTGTTATCTTTTGAGGTCCTGCCGGCACCCACTTTCCCCCCCCCCCTCTGGCCTCCACCAGCCCCAAGGCCAACTCTCCATTTGCCACAAGCCAGCCCTGAGGGAGCAGACCCAGAGGACACCTTCCTGGAGGACTTGGAGTGGGACCTTCTGGGTCTTGCCCTAGGTTCCACTCCGTGGGCCCCTGCCCCCATCCAGGACTCGGGCTGCCCCTGTCCCAAGTCACAAGGTGGCCACTGGTTGCAGCAGAGGTTCAAGGGAGGGGCAGGCAGAGTCTCTGTCTCGCAGAAAGGGAGATGAGGGCACACCATCCAGGGTCGCCACTCTCACTCTCCTGCCCTGCAGGCCTCTCGGGCTCCTCCTGTGCTTGCCTTGCTGTCCCCTCATCACCACCCAGCCCTGCTGTTCCCTCGTCCCCGTCCCCGTCCCCAGCCATGTTAGGCTGCCCCCTCAGCGCCACCCATCCCCACTGACCCCTTAGCGGCACCTGGATTCCCTAACCCCCCAAAGGCCAAAAGGCTCCGCGTCCCTGGGTTGGTATCACACAGTTGGGGGTCCCAAGGACCCCCCTGCCAAGCCCCGTTCATTCTGTCCCAGTTTTTGCCTCACTGCCCGGTCCTACCTTTATTTCTCCCTGGCTTGTGGTCCTTGTTGGTGTCTCTGTCCCTGCTCTGGTTGACCCTGCACTTGTCTGTCCTGTTTTGTAGTGTGTCTTTTATAGTGTGTTTTTTTTATCCCTATGGTCTCTGACATTGCTTTTGTCCACTCCGTGTCCTTAGTCATGTCATGAGTCTGGTCCTGTGTCCCTGATCCTGCCCAACTGGCCTTGCATGTCTGCCCTGATGTTTGGCTCCATCATCCCAACCCTGGTGTGGTGTGTCCCTGTCCAGTTCTGCCCTGTCCTGTTTGTCAGGGAGCTCTGCCCCTCTGATGTTTGGTGGTGCCAGTCTTGTTTAGATATGGTCTGTGTGCCCCTGTATCACCTCCCATCTCTGTTGTTCCTGAGTTTTCATTGTGGTTCAGTGTTCATCCCTGACTCCTGATCTTGTCTCGTGTCTCTCCTGTTGGTCCCTGGTCTGGTCCCTGCCTGTTCGGTGCCCCAGTTTTAGAGTTTGCCCGATCTCATCCAGCCTCCTTGCCCTGTCCTGCTTTGTCCTGTCATGTCATGCCCTGTCTTGCCCAGTGTCCAGGGTCTGTCTGTCCATCCCTTTGTGTGGCCCCTTGGTGCCCTACCCAGCACACGATGGGGGGGTACTGTCTTGTGTCCTACCCTGCCTGACCCTCCTGTCTCCTCCCTGGCGTTCCTTCCCTCCTGTTAATCACACCCAACTGCCTACTGTCTGTTCCTTGGTTACTACAGTATTTAAGTGCTTCTTAGTCTAATAATCTCCAGTTCCGTTATTAACATTGTGTTCCTGTAGCCCTTGCCCTAGCCTCCCTATTGATCCCCTGTGATCCCATTTTGTTTCCAGTTCTGTTCAGTTCATGTAAATAAACCTCCTTTGTTGGCCCTGATTCCTGCTCCTGTGTCCTCTATTCAGCCCGGCCATGACACTAGAATTTTTTTGGAGGTTGTTGCAAAAAAATAAGCAATAACAATAAAATACAATAAATAACAATAAGATACAATAAATATATTGATTAATTTGTTTTGTGCCATTTATGCCATAAAACACCTCCATTTTCTAAATTTATATTATATGTGAATTTGAATAAATCATTGGGACATTCAGAAAAATAACACTGGAAGTTCAACCTAGCTGCACATATGTTTGTAATGTGCTGTTTGCCTCGCACTTCACTCTGGGTAAAAAGTCTGCTGAGTATGTAAAATGTTCATACATCCATCCATCCATCCAATCCCCATCACTTCTTATCCAATGACTGGTGAATCTAGGGGTTTATTGGACTCAAAAGAACAACAGCAAAATACAAGATCAGAGGCTAAACTCTGGCAATATGGGGATACAATTTCAATGACTGGACTGGGGAACACAGGACGGGGAAGTACTTTTATACAAGGTTAATGAGGGAGTAAATGAGAGGCAGCAGGAATGAGAAACACAAGGGCAGGGTCAAGAGACAAACAATCAACAGATGGCTTATGCCAGGATGCCCACAGCACAAGACAGAGAACACCCTGGTGAGGATGACAGGCCATCACAGGGCACACACTCTCCTCTCTCTCTCTCTCTCTCTCTCTCACACACACACACACACACATGCATGCACGCACACACAAACACACATGACCAGTGCTTCATTTGTAAATCAGAAGGTCCCGGAAAGCAAAGGGCAAATGAAAGCGGAGGGGTAAGGACACAATATGCATTGCTTTGACACAATGCATATTGTGTCAAAGCAATGCAAAAGTATACATAGTTTAGCTCACATAGTGTAATGGTATGGTGCACGTGTTAAGTGTTTTGAAAAAGTGGACATGATATTGAGACACGCGTTAAAATGATTGGAGAAAACTGTAATATGGGTGTGTGGTACTACATTTGCTTGTCACTTGGGGCTCTACCCTCATTGGTCTGCCAATTGTACCATATAGCTGTAGGGTAATTGTATCTTTTAAGGTAAGGAAATTGAGGACTCTGAGGAACATCCCCAAAGTACAAACAACATTAATGTATTTCCAATGGTAGAAAAATAAGCAGAAGTGTCTGAGTGACTTTGCAAGGGCCATATAGTGATGGCTAGACGACCGAGTCAGAGCATATCCAACAAGGCACATCCAGGTATGCATGGTCAATACCTTCAAAATGTGGTCTAAGGAAGGCCAACTAGTGAACTGGTGTCAAGGTCATGGGTGCCCAAAGCTCACTGGAGCACAAATTGCTGAAAAAGTTAATGCTGGCTATGATAGAAAGGTGTCAGAAGACACATCACAGTTTGCTGTGTGTGGGGCTGCACAACCAGAGACCGGTCAGAGCGCCCATGCTGAAGACATCAGAAAGACATACCCATCAGAAAGACATACCTATCAGAAAGACATACCCATCAGAAAGACATACCTATCAGAAAGACATACCCATCAGAAAGACATACCTATCAGTCATACCTATCAGAAAGACATACCTATCAGACATGCCTATCAGAAAGACATACCGATCGTCCAATCTGTGAAGAAGGCATGCAGGTGATATTTGTATAGATTTATCTACACCCTTCTGGAAGTGCTGCCATTGCAGTCAGGTCTCACAGACTACGAGGAGTAGAAGTTGTCCGAATTGGCTGCAGTCAGTTTATACTCCACCCCTGCAGCCGCCGGCAGATCGCGTTCCACGTTGCATCAGCTGCAGTCGAACGCACCCATTGCTTCTTTAAGGGAGGATGGGCAAAATTACAATGTCGTCGGTGATTGGCTGTTGTGCTGGCGTTCAGTAAACCTCTGCTCGATAGGCCATCGAGTTGTCTGTCTCAGCGCATTCTCTAAAACGGAGCAAATTTGGTTGATCGAGTTTTATAGTCTGTGTGTATCATCGTGATCGTCCTTATGTTTTATCGATAAAAAATCGAGATCGTTTTATCGCCCAGCACTAATAGCATAGTTATAGGTCAATTAAATTAGGTATTTTACATTCATTAGAAAGCACGGTCTTGGAGGTGCAAGTCAATCTGGAGGCTCATTCTCTTCAATTCAAAGCAGAGGATCATTACATAGCCGTATTCATAGCTTACCCGAGGCCTCTCTCCCTGGTATAAGGGACTTAATATGAACA